CATCTCAAGTATCTTCAGTATGTCATGATCGCGCTTGTATGGATCAACGCCTTTAGCGCAGTGGTCTTTCGATACCTTTTGACGAAAAGCGGAACATTCGATTAAGACTTTTTAACTCACTTCCACTTCGGTTTCCCGTGGGCCCAATTAGGAAATCCCCTTTATCCACCTTTTCCAACGGCATGCATTTATTATGGGATGACTTAAAACCAAATTGCTCTCCGAGTTTACAAGAGAACCATGTTTTTGCCACATCAGACCTTACTATACTTAACTACAAGATGTAGGAAGAGGAGGGATATTCAGGAAAACTGGTTTTTGAATGATTTTTCAATAAATGCATGTGGAGTACCTTCCACTTCGTTTGCAGAGGCAAGCGGAAGTAATTCGTAAGTTGGCCTCACCGAAAGCTGTAGAGGTATTGCCTTGGAGTGGTGAATTTATATTTGTGCGAATAGGTCCTAGACTCTCAGCCCTGTGATCCGGATGAATCCTTGCTGAGTTTTCGTCCGTCTCATGATTTGGTAGGAGATCTTATGCTTTTCCCACATGCTGTCGAGAAGCGACTATAGATTAAGCACGGAAAGGATGCATTTATGACCGAACAGCGGCATCCTTTCATAAAGTAATTATATTTTTGATCCTGTTGAGCACTGCATGATTACAACACACGTGCAATGGAACGCAATCACATACAGAGCCATTGCAGGATCAAACAAAAGAGATACATGTTTTAGGGGAGGATGCAGCTGTCCGGTCACAACTTCAACCGTTTCACATTTGAATTGCAGCCACTAGACTTTTCAATAGTATGTAGGAAAATCAGAGGATCTCCAGCTAAATCATTAGATGATTAAATAAGTAGATCTAGCAAAACTATCAAAAGTAGCCAGAATTGCAGCCGGTCACCGTTTTTGTGCGAAGGAAAGTTTGGTTTTGAGAGATCTCTTGTTTCAGAATTGTTGAGCTTACTTCCATCTCGAGTGAAAGTGTCTGTTGAAGAGACTCGAAGGTCGATTCCACCAGAAGAAGACACCGAAATCCTCTTGACCAGTTGTTTCCAAGGTAATTTCCTTCGACTCCGGTGAAAACGAGCTAAGCTTTCGTCCGTCATATGACAGACATCGCCAGAACAAGGTATCATCCTTACAACCAAATTCTATATCTCATCAAAGAGGCCAGCTATAGAGTATCTATACAGATTTGTAGGGATGTGCCGGTGAGTTTACTTGACTTGTTAGCTTGAATTTGGTTGTAAGGATGATACCTTGCTCTGATAAGATGCGTCATATGATGGACGAAAGCTCAGCACGTTTTCACCGAAATCGAAGGAAATTATTTCGGAAACAGAGTCAACATGCATGTTCCAGTAAAGCCAGTCTAAAGCTGGTCAAGAGGATTGCAGCGTCGTCTTCTGGTGGAATAGAGCTTGGAATCTCTTCACCAAGCACTTTCACTTGAAATGGAAGTAAGCTCAACACGTTTTTAGTCTTTGTGCTTGAGGACTTATCGTCAAACAGGTTATCTTGTCCTGACAATGTCCGTCATATGACGGACGAAAGCTCAGCAAGGATTCATTGGGCTCCCAGAGCGGTGCGTTGAGTACCAATTATCATAAAGCTACAAACACAGCTCCATGGCAGTCCCTCTACAGATTACAGTGAGACCGACTTATGAATATCTTCCACTCGCCTCTTCAAACCGACTGAAAGGTAGTCCAACGTGAGTACATGAGATGCATGATTAGGATTGCAAAATTGGGTTATGCGAAGAAGATTGGAGTGCAGCCTGCCACCATCTCTGGTTTTGTTGTTATTAAGTTTTATAAAGGATTGCTTCTGACTCTGAGCGTTTCTTTCAGTGGATGAGACAACTCAGAAGAACTGCAGCAGCCTCGCAATAAATTTGGCTGAGAGTGTCCTCGCATAAATCATACTGGTACAGCTCCTTATTTCCGATGGAACCAGCGGGGTGATTGGTTAAGACTAGTTTCGGCTTGACATCTAGATCGGAAGGAAAGATGCAAAAGCTTCATTGAGGCAATTAATCACTTGATATATGATGTTACGTCAAAAGAAATTCATTGTAACGAAGAATTACAAAATACCAAATCATCGAAATGGGACCGTAGTTATGACTGCCTAATCTGCA